GATGCTGACTGGGTGCCCAGACCGAAGCAGGTGGTTTTCTTAGGGAGCCACACCCGGAGCCTTCGACCTGAAGGTCTGATCCACAAAGCCGTGGAGTAACGTCAGAAGATGCAGTCTCATGGTAGCCGTTGAAAAACAATTGCTTCATATGCCATTTGTTCCTTCAGGACCTTGGAGTCCATGTGCACTATTGCTTTGGAATCAGAGTTTTCCAACTCTCCGTGTTCACCAACCCGGTTAAAGCGCCGATCATCCGCTTTTCGTCCTCTCAATTTCGTAAACAACACCCTTGTCACGGGAAGGCAGTGAGTATGACTTCCCTGTCAGAAGCTGTATACGTGTGGCCATGTGAGGGCATTTTGAGAGGGAGAACAAACTCTCTCCACTTTCAGCCGTACCAGGGCATTTGGGGGCATAGCATAAAATAGTTTGAAGACATGATAGATCCTACTTTTTAAAGAGAAATTTTAAACAAAATATTCAAAAACGACTCGTTTGATATGTTTATATCATGTTATCTTAATCTGATATATATATTTTTATCAGAAGGGGTTTGTGGAGATTTTACAAATTTTCGCAGATTGAAATCATGAGCCAGTTGAAGCTAGACCACCATTGAAAACCTAAGAGCACTGGACGGCCGTTTCGTCCTAGTACGGGACTCATCAGCAGTGCGCATCCACGATCCTGCACCCCGCGGGATTCCAACCCAGGACCTACTGGCTTCGCGCGCGAGCACTTAACCATTAGACCATTGAGCCGGCATCCAACGATGTTAATGTGTAACTTCAACCAATCCACGAAGTTGCGCCACCATATACCATTGTCTTCAGTGAGCTGATATCTCACAACAGACCTGGTTGTACTCCACTGGTAACGGCTTCCCACTAGAACTCCAGGAGCTTCAACTGACTCATGATTTCAATCTGTGAAAAAATATATTTTTAGTTAATGTTATTAAATATTCGACAGTGTAGATAGGAAGACATTATGGAAACTTCTTCGACACTACGGAGTTCCTCAGAAGATTGTCAATATTATCCGGAACTCATACGACGGACTACAGTGCAAAGTAGTGCATGGACAGCTGACAGATGCATTCCAAGTAAGGACCGGAGTCAGACAAGGCTGTTTACTCTCTTCCTTCCTCTTTCTTCTGGTGGTCGACTGGATTATGAAGACCTCAACATCTGAGGGAAACACGGAATACAATGGACAGCTCAGAATCAATTAGACGATTTGGACTTCGCAGATGACCTAGCCCTCCTATCACGTACACACGAACAGATGCAGATAAAGACAGCCAGTGTAGCAGCAGTCTCTGCATCAGTAGGCCTCAGCATACACAAAGGGAAAACTAAGGTCCTCAAATTCAAAGCGGAGAACAGCAATCCAATCACACTTGATGGCGAAACTCTGGAAGATGTAGAGTCCTTCACATACCTGGGAAGCATCATCGATGAACAAGGAGGATCCGATGCAGACGTAAAGGCGAGGATCGGCAAAGCAAGGGCCGCTTTCCTACAATTGAAGAACATATGGAACTCAAAACAACTTTCAACCAATATCAAAGTAAGAATCTTCAATACGAACGTCAAGGCAGTTCTACTGTATGGAGCTGAAACTTGGAGAACTACAACAACCACAATCAAAAAAGTACAAGTATTTATAAATAACTGTCTACGCAAGATACTCAACATCCATTGGCCGGATACCATCAGCAATAGCCTTCTGTGGGAGAGAACAAACCAACTTCCAGCTGAAGAAGAAATTAGGAAAAGACGATGGAAATGGATAGGACATACATTAAGCAAATCATCAAACTGCATCACGAGGCAAGCCCTAACGTGGAATCCTGAAGGGAAGCGATAAAGAGGAAGGCCAAAGAACACATTACGTCGGGAAATAGAATCAGATATGAAAAGGATGAATAACAACTGGAACGTGATGGAAAGGATTGCCCAAGACAGGGTTGGATGGAGAATGCTGGTGAGCGGCCTATGCTCCTTCACGAGGAGTAACAGGCGTAAGTAAGTAAGTAAGTAAGTAAGTTATTAAATATTCGAATGTGCAGTTGTAATTATAGAGGATACATACGTAGATATATATAAAGCAATGAAATAAATAGTTTATGTGTCCCTATCAAGATTTAACTTGATAATTAAAAAAAAAATAAATCAAGCATTAAAAATGATATGAATATATATTTACGATCTTCTATGGAAAGAAAAATTGGATTTCTGCCGTTTTGAGATCATTTCATTGAAAAGTCGCCTGATTGCAGAATAAACTAAATATTTCATATGAATAAAAAAACGAAGTTATATTTAATGTATAACTGAATCAGAATACTACATGAACTATGTTAAGTCTCTAATAATGAGAATATTATACAATATAAATTGTGAGGACGGTCCATGTGAAAACTCGAGGAATTTCTAAGAAGCTTAGAAAGAGCCGAAGATATTCTATCCAATCATCTTTTGGAAGAATATTCCAGAATCACTACATGTAGTTTCCCTATTGGACAATGCTAATAACCTCCTATATGTGGATTGGATAACTATAACGATGGTTTCGGTTTTACTAAAAGCTATAAATGCCTGACAGTTTTGTACCATAATTGACACTATTTGGAATAACACTCCTTTCACTTGTCTTCTGTCTTCTCATTTACGACTTGGGAGGGTTCTAGTGTTCGAGTACTTAATTCCAACGCGACATATCAAGAATATAAGCTCTAGATATAACATAATTTAGATTGGATTTAATAAAATAAATGATTATACACTACCTTAATTTTTAACAAAAATTACACTAATAATAATTCAATATCTTAATAAATTACTATTTTCGAATGACTGGTGCATTTTTTTTTATTTTCAAAAACAGTTTAATTAGTTTCTAAATCAATATAATATCCTCTCTCTCCCTCTCAATCTCTCTATATATTCCTAGGTAAGAATGGGAATACTGTTTTCTTTTAAATATCTTTTAGTTCTTTTCCTAACCCGTAAAATGTTTACATTATTATCAACTAAAAACAATTACTTGATTTTATGAATGAGTTTATGATTGGAATAATTCTTTTAATCAGAAAAGTGCTTTATTATTCATTATTGCTAATAGTAACACTTACTAATCATAGACATCTTATCTATTCATGTGTAATGGATGTTTTGTGACAAACATTAAAGAAGAAAACAATATTTTTTTTTAGTTAAGGTTTTGAAAAATTCAAGGCATAATTTTATAGATTTTATTGACATTTATAAAATTAAGTTGTCTTGGATTGTTTATAATCAGTGACTAGTAGTATAGTTCGTTGGTAAATGAGTAATTTTTAAATCCTTGTTAATTGATTCACATAATACTAGTTTTGATAGTTTTCTTTTTACCATTTTACTTTTGATAAGGAGGAAGTTCTGTGAATAATTACATTTTTTTAATAGGTATATATTATAGTAATTTTATTAGTTGAGATCATAAGCCATTTGAAGCTAGACCATTATGGAAAACCTGGAAGCACTGAAAGGCCATTTCGTCCTATTGTGGGACTACTGTTTGAAAGAAGAATATTCTTTTCGATAAATTCTCTTCAGATTTGACAAATATATTTTCAAATTAATAATCCAAAAACTGGTCATCTTTAAGGGTGAAGTGTATCGTTTAAAGCATGTGAATTTAGGATTGTCAAACAAAATAGAATAAAATTGTTACTGTTGATATGAACCATATAGAATGTTAACTTGAATCTGTATATATGCTAAGTGAAAATTTAAGATTCATGATCAGAATAAATATGGGTCAGATAGGATGAGAGAAATAATAGTGCAATTACAATCCGAACAAATGTTTAATGGAAGACTATATCGTGTGAAAAATTAGTAAGACGTAATAAGGAGGGATGAATGCGAAGTGAATGAACCATGTTATTGGGGAGATTAATAATGATATTTAACCAATAATAATAATACAAAGATTTGTGAATAAAGATAACAGAGAAAATTACATGTGACTACGAAAGGTCGTAAGCACAATAGTCAAATTAGGTAATTCGATAGCTAAGATTACTATTGATTAATTGCCCTTGAGGCTGGCCAGGAGAGGAGAAGTGGTTGAAGATATTTCTTTTGTACCCATAGCTCCGGTTTCCTCATCCGGTTGGCTATTACTTCATCCGTTTGAAGGACTTTAAGTTTGACAAGCTTTGGCAAAAAATTACTGACCCCAAAAATAATTGAAAACGATTGGTTTATACTGGCACAATGATCAGTTTGCACTAAATGGGCCAATATCGAGCTGTTCACTTTCTTCACCAAACCTATATATTTCATCAAAAATTTACCGATGTTTGCAAGTAATTTTGTTCCAAATCTACTGTAAGATGTCTTAATAAGTATACTTTTCAAATTATGTATAGAACAGAAGAAATTCATATGGGTGATAAAAAAAGTATCCCTTGAATAATTTATTTGTGGGTCGTATTTACAATTAGTTTTTTTCCTAAGTGTGTTTTTATATTAATGGTTGCAGATGAAATATAAGACAAGACCATTTTAAGACAGGATAACTTTGGATTTGAATGTATTTCTACTGTACTTGTATACCTTGGATTATTATCGAAATTAGATTGCTATGTAAACTGCTCACAGTTTTCTTGTCGTAATGATATTGATAATGGTTTAATTAATAATAGTGCATGTTAATCTCCTCAGAGAATAAAACTTTAAAGTACTTAATAATAAACTGGGTGACTAACTGGAGATTTATGATTGGGAAAAATGAATACCATAATTGCTTTTAGCGAATTTAATCCTCATGTGTTTTTCATCATTTCTGCAGCCAAAATATCTCACTTTTCAAATAAATTACTTTCTTCGAAACTTGTATGTGTTAAGAAGTAAAATACTCTTGTCATCTTCAATAATGACAAAAAAACCCAACAAATCTCAATGCTGAATGTTCACACACTTTCTGTATTCTCATTCAAATTGCAGGAGATGCCAAAATGATCATATCGGACTCATTATCAAACCAACGGGTTTTACTCAACCGAATTAAACGTTACCGAAGTGATGTTGTACACAATGCAACTACTTATGCTCACTCCACATCTACTTACAAAAGTGAGAACAACTATAACAATAATGGCACGTTCTGAAATCTAAGCTTTATAGAGGGATGCTGCATTATGATTTATTTCTCAAATGAATGTAAACTTATCAATGACTGTGAAACTAAGACGTGAATCAAAGTCAATGTAGTTGTTAAAAAACGAAATCACCTGACTACTCATGTCTTTAAGCTGCGATAAAGTGACAATGTATTTAATTTAGTTTACTCAAATATATAAAGTAAAAGAGATAGGATTTTAAGCAACTAGTACTGAAGTCAAATTTAATCAGGGAAAAAATTAAAGTTCGAAGTTACGCTTTAAAGAAATAAATCGTCAAAACATATTTACACAGTTTATTCAATAAAGATCATAAACATAAAATTTCAGTAAAGCGTTAATAAGAATATGATCTCTTATTTCATGCAAATTAACAACCAAAGTTAATCAATTGACTCGAAGCTATATTAAACTAAATTTAAATCAATGACAAAACCAATTCAAGCAGTAAATATGATGAAAATAATGTTTATCAAAAAAGTGATAGATCAAAGAAGAATATATACTACTTGCATAAACGTAAACTAAAATCTGCAATTAAATTCATATGATCTGATGGAAATATAGCTGACGGTAGACCATTAGGACCAATTTCAGTTTTGGATGGAATGGACCAAGCACCTAACAAAGTGCATAGTCGATCACAGTACCAAATATAATCAATCGTGTGACAGTCTTCGGTAAGTTCTACAATTCGTTTACTTTTTCTGATTTTCCATGTTGTAAATTCAGGTTCTTTACAACCACCTGCTACGTAGTAAGCACTTGTGAGCTTGTACAGTGTGTTAGAATTCAAGGAGAAATTTTGTAAAATATTAATTACTGGTTCTGTAGGTTCAGCATTGAAATCACCGCAAATAAAAATAGGAGGAAATACAGTACTATTTACGGGTGCAGAAGTGGAAGAAATACGCTTGATAAATGAATTTAAATATTTAACAAGTTCTTCTCCTTGTTTTCTTCGTATCTCAGAACAATATACCTTAGCTTTTAAGTGAAGACATATTAGGTAGATATCAGGGCAGCTCTTGTTTAAGTGTCCAACATCTTTGGGTATGAAGTGACAAAAAAGAGCATAACGTGAATTGTCTTCATTGAGAGGAATCTTTTCAGATTTTATCAGTTCATAATTATCATTCCTATTTGTTGAAAACATAAAAAAGACAAAAATGGTTACCGATAAATAACAGCAAGTCCATCAGGCCCGTGATTATTTTTAACCATCAAACAAGGAGAAGACATCTTTGGTAGAAAACAAAACGAATAATTATCTCTCCCGCTGCTGGCGTTGAGACGTTTTACTATGTCTTTAATTATGTCTGCTTCTTGTAAGCAAACAATATCTGGATCATAACGCAGGATCTCTTCACTGATTGATTTACATCTACGTTCAAACGACAACATTTTACAAGGACAGTATATGAATTCGTCCAACGGAACAAAGCCTGTATTTTGGAAATAAATAAAGGTCTACAGCTATAAACCTACCCTGAGCAAGCATGTTCCACTGCATAATACGTATTTTTAAGTCATTTTTATCACAGTTTTCTAGGTGGATGTAACTCCTTGAGTAGGGCTTTTCGTTTGATTCACAAACAGACATTGAACTAGAGGTAAGAAATTTATAGATATACACATATATTAGGTGCTATTGAGTAGATTAGCGTTTAATGAGAACATATTGGAAACTAGGAAACGATAAAGATTCGGGCTTCTGAGAAACATCAGAAGACTGAAAAACATAGTAGTGAATACCAAGACAGACTGCTGAGGCATTTTAAGTTTATTGACCATATGCAGAGCAAAATGAGGCAAAATTCTGATTTGCATAGTTTAAAAAATTACTAAGATTCCGATTAAAGCGACAAGCACTGATTCGCAACTATTGTAACAAAATGGCTACATATCAAAATATGACTAACGATTTTATAAGGCAACAATGTAATTAGTAGACATATGCATCCATTTTTATTATATGTAATTGTTCGATGACGAGAAACGATTTGCTTTATATAAATTATTTACAGCCATTTCTCGATAAACATGACTGAAAATCGCATTAGAATTATGCAATACGCTAATGGAGAAACGCAATCATTATTACTAGTACCTAATCACAAGAAAGGGTAATGGATGTAATAATATACATGACTATCAAACTAACAAAGAGACTGCAAAATCCTGGAAAGATAAAACCCGAATCGAAAATGATGGAATAAATGAGAAAACTTTATATATGAACTGCTTTGTGTCCGTAGAGCTAATCGATACATACACGTCTTAATATGAGTGTCAATATATGGAAGACGTGTAAGAACTCATGTATCGGTCTTAGATTTTTATCAAGGTGTTCAAGCAATTTTATGACTGTTTATGGATAGATTAAATACAAATTACATGCAAGGTTAGGTTCGGCTTTACTGACATGAGTCTCTCCCTATGCTCACACTAAACTGTTCGCCGTTGGAAACAACTCTCAACTCCGTGTACCTGGATACATAAGTAGGTAATCTTATTGTAAGCAAGATAGGCGATGAAATATAATCTGTCTTATGCCTGTTCTCATTACCAGTAGTGTTACTTTCGAGTTAGTTGTCTGTGACTTATCAGCCATACTAATTTAGGATGCATACTGCTATATGACTAAAAGAGTTCTTTTGAACTGAATCTGTATGACAGCTATCTATGTCTCATCATTGACTTGGCAGGACTTCCAACACTGAATGGTAATTGCATAGAAACATTGCTAAATTTTGGTACATAGCGGTTAACCAAAGTGCTTCATAGATCCTACTCTTGACAGCGTTTTCACATATAAGTTGTCAAGACTGGCGATTGTTGAAAAAGAAGTAGGGTAGTCATCCAGTAACATTGGACCATGAAATTAAGAATATTCATAGACTCCGTATGTGCAGGCTCATTGGACGTGGTTCACAGGCCTATAGTCTATTGGTTTGTAGGTGAATACATACTAAGAACGACACTGTAGTTCGATGGAATTCACTACTGTAGTAGATGAGTTACTTAACTACATGTTTCTTGACACCTATTCCAAAAATCAAAAGCCAAGGCTAAAGTAATGAATACTAAAATCATACTTCCGTGTAAAAAGTTAAACCAAAAGTCACCAGTCGATCGAAACGGTAAATTTACAAGATCTTATTCAACGTATATATATCCAGCATATAGGAAAAATAGTTAAAAATGTGTATGCGGTGTGATCTTTCGTTTCATTGTGCATTTATCAGTCTGAGTATTTTTTAAAATTGTCTAGCCTTTAATTTAAAAGATTAATATATTTAAAGTGACTAAAAAATGTTTGTTTATAAAACAGGTGTGAGAAAGCACAAGTATTCAAATACCAGTCATCATGCACAAAAGAAAACGCTAATCATTTAAAATGAGGAAATGTGGGAATTCTAGTACAAAGAATGGTATATATGACCGAAAACAGTTCAAGAAACAATACAGAAAAGTCAGCAACTATAACAATTTAACTTTCTGTCTGAAGTTTATCCCGAACGTTTATGATTTTCCAGCGTTCTAATTTAAATGCGTTTACCCACTGTATATCTTTGTTTGAAATCAACTTCATATTCTCCTCGCCTGTTTCTACTGAGTTTAACTTAGACAAATCATTCAGTAATTACTGTCGATTAATTGACAGTAGTAAGTTGCATGTTATTCTTTGCCCTCGTTCGTCACAGTTAGCTTGATATGGCTGTGAACAAAGCTTACAAATTGTCACTTTAAAATACTTCAAGCATTATTCCATATTTCCAAAGGGCATTATACATAAAAAAGCAGTTGTAAGAGACTATTTTAAGATATAAGTAAGGTAAACTACAAATTAGCATGACGGAACAACATATTATAACGTCATTTAATCGTGGCTAATTAGTTCTGACTTGTATTTTGTATATCTTAACAGACTTCGAGTTTTCCTACAGAAACTCACAAGAAATCCAAAACGTGGAAGGTCAATTGGAACTATTAAACAAGATAATTCTAAACACTAAAAAATCTCAATGTACAATACTCACTCGTGTTAAGTTATGGAGTAAACTATTCCTGTAAAGTAATTGATTTAAATGTCATTCTTATTATTTAGTGATTTTTAAATGACTATGGGTTTTTTTAAACCCCACCATGAACTTAGTGAAGTTTAAGGAATAGTAGTGGAAAATTATTCTACGTAGGGTTTATTGATACGAGGACTTTTATTCACTTTCTACTTAAACGTCGTCATAGCATTTTGTAAAGATAATAATGTAAAGGTTCTGAAAAAATTTATTGAAAACTCGTATGCCAAGTTCACCAAGACGAATATGTTTTATAAGCAAACGACACTGATGATGATCATATTAGTTTTACTGGACTGCAACTGGCTGAAGGTGTCAGATCAAACTTCATGCAAAATCACGTTCAGAACACACACCTTGCAACACCAGAATGCGCGAACCGAATATGACTATATGGTTAGTGAAATGTCACTGAGTTCTAGCCAAATCATATGGTACTCAGGTCGCTAAATGTCAAACAGTTTGCTGGTCCTCATCTAGGTCAAGAACGACCAGTGTGCGTCAATTAGTGGCATGTCCTGAATTGGCCCAGAAAGCAGTGGTCACACTCTTTTCCTTGTACCTACTCTTACCAATATATTTCTGTAATAACATCGTTTGTATTGTACGGTCATCAAGGTAGCCATAGTATCTGGATACGACGAAAAGGGCAATCCACGTTAGATACTAAGCACGAAGTATGATTTTAATGTTTGCTAGTTGTTCACATATTCCCATCCAACTTGATTAGACCGCAGTCATCGAACTTGAACTTATTGAGCTAGTAAAATATCACCAAGGATTAGTCAAGATACATAAAGCTGTTTATTTTAAAGTGCCACTACATGATTTTAGAGGACTTATTATTAACCCACCATGTTAAATCCATGTAAAAGAAGGCCATGACTATAGAAGTCTCTCTGTCATCTGATGCTACGTTGGTTTAACCGACCACTTATACTCTTATGATAATCCCTCATAACTGGACATGTGCACATTAACCACTAATGCAGTGTCTTCAAACCATGTTTTCCAGCCACTTGAAATTATAAGAAAATGCTATATAAAAATAACTTAGTGGCTAGGGAAAATAGTGAAGTATGTTTATCTCTCTTGATAGACAACTAGTGTTGGCGTTATGTTTAAGTTGACAGCAAATGGTTAGTGGTATACAACTGAAGATATCCAGCCAACTGGTCTTGATATTCTACAACTAACAGAGTTGTTGGCAGTATACTAGGCTTTAAAGGATGTCAGATACATTATAAGGCATTTGGACGGCAGTTACTGATGATAGGCCTCTCTGTGAAGCGTTGACGGTGAGGCATTACAACTACCATACATGCAAGAGAGATAGCTAGATATCAAAGTTAGTGCTGTACCTAAGGCATCCGTTACCGAGTGTGAGAACGAAAAACGATCTAGCTATCTTCTACCGACTAGTATAGGGGAATAGAAGAACCACGAAGATATAAATGATGACGTTTATTCGAGCTGGAAGAAAATAATGTGATCTTCTAGCTTTCAACTTCATCACGCTTTCATATAAATACCTGATCTGGCTCACTCTATCGTGGTAATCGGATAAGGCTGCTTCTTTATTGAATTTGCAAAACAAGTGGAATCTTCTCAAACTAATACGGTTCTAGTTGTGTCGTCGAACAAAAATGAAGGAAAATTCTCTTACCAACAAAATCATTTGCTTATGCTGTGCATGCGTATTTACTGTTGTGTGCCTTAGTCTTGTTTTATTTCAGTTATTACTTTGTCACTTTAAGCTGTAACCAGATATTATTATCCTCGAGTGATTTTCATGATCCTTATAAGGTAGTTATTATAACCTTTTACGTATTTTATTTTCACTGATATCTACCAATTGGGTAGTTATCTCTCACAATAATGATTAATCATCTCGTAAATTATTTTCGTCGTCTTATTTTCTTCTAATCTTCTGAATTTTACGCAACACCTTTCAAAATTTCGAACCACTTTCCAATGTAACCTTTCGTAGTATTTTATAGACGTATATTTGCCAGACGAATGAACAGCACCAGTAAGTGATTTCGTAGAAAGACAAATTTTCTTCTCTGAATCCTTTACCTTTTTATGGAATTATCAAAGTACATTGAAAACTATAGGTTAGCGAAGTATATATAGACTCTGTCATGTGAGCTGGTCAAGGCTATTCATTTGCTCAATCCGTGTCAGTCATCTGTGACTTTAACGATATTCAACAAAATAATCGACATTCACTAATCTTTCATCTGAAGTCGAAACAGTTCTGTTCTATGGATAATTTGGCTAGGACTCAGTGACATATCGTAGTGATATTGGTCCCTAACCACACGAAGTTTTAAGCTGAGTGTATGATTACTGGGGAGATTCGCATTCAACATATAACAATAGGA